CATGATTCCGAACCACTATGGAGTTAGCGAACTCCGTGATCGTGAATGGGGTGTAACCTTCACACCCGTGAACGGTTTCCAAGTTCCTAACTTGTTGGCGACTATTTTATCTTTAGTTTCCTTCCTTTTGGACGCCATCATGCCTAAAAGCATGATCACAGTGAGGGCTCAAAGTTGAGTTTGAAAAATTCCCTACACGAACATTTACCAACTAATCGACCAAATTCAATAAACAGTCATTACCTTTTTGTTTATTCAATTAGTAGTGTCTTAGGTACCAAGTCAATTGTTCCTGATCCTTACAACATTTTTTACTCCTTAAACAAGAAACCTTTTGCCACTTAACTAAACTATTCATACACACTTACAACAAGAAGACTAACTAAAATACAAGTCCTATTCTAGAGATCTTCATATTCTTCTGGTCTTAAAGCTTCCTTAGATCGACTCATTGATTTCATCATTTCCTTGAATTATTATTCAAGAAAGATATCGATCTTCAATCAAGTACTTGGACTAATGGTTAATACACATGAGAATCAATTGATCATACCAAAATAAGCAGCAACCAGCTAAGTTGTTTGTCATCAGTTTAAAGCCTAGGAACCTAACAAAAAAAAAAGGTATGTAGAAATAAAGTTATATCAAATGTATCATAATTTCATGAATAATAAAAGTGATGATAATTCCATAGTTAAAAAATAAATAAATAAATAAAAACATTATGAATTTTTCAGCAACTATAGAGCATACTTCTCAAAATGATTATTTAATTTGTTGTTAAAATTAATAAAGTGTGAAGTCGTTATTTAAAGTTTATTTTCCTTGAATTAGAGCCCTGCTAATAACATGTTAATAGACCTGGTTATTGGGAGGGTTGAGGCCGGTTAGTGAGGATCAATAATGGGCTGGTTTAAGGTCGGAGGAAATACTAGAATGGGTCATTAACGGGTCAATAAGTCATTTACTATGCTACTCATTTAAATATTTCTTCTTTGAATCTAAATTACCATTCCATGATAGATTGATAGTTCCAACAACTACATCCTAAAACCAGTCTAACAATCCTTCACAAAATTGTTTTGATAGCAAAAAAATATTTACCCATCAACCTATGTTATAGATTTGAGAGTTAAAGTTTTGTTTATAAATCTTAATATTTGGACTTGAGGATTCGAAGAAAGAATACAGATTTTTAAGATTAAAGAAGGATTATATGCAAGAATACAGATTTTTAAGATTAAAGAAGGATTATAGGCTATGTAATGTGACAACGGATGATAGATTTTCCGACACATCGTTAGCGACAAACGAAAGAATACAGATTTTTAAGATTAAAGAAAACAAATATTAAAGAAGGATTATGGGCTATGTAATGTGACGAACTGACGACGAATGATAGATTTTCCGGCACATCGATAGCGACAAAGAATCTCCAGGCGAAGCATAAACCTTTTAATTGTAAATGTGTACCGTAGAGAAAGGAGAAAGGGAAGGGAGGAGAGCGAACATACAACTTTTTTTGTTTAGGTGTCCTTTTTAAGTGACCCTATATCTATTTTCATTACTATAGGACTGTTCATAAGAACCCATTATCGTGCCATTGTAGAGGAAAATTCATTGTTGAATTTCCTTATTACAAGATACGAGTCATATGGCTACATAGGTTTCACTATTTATATGGTACTTGATGGTTATTGCAATTTATTCAAATAGAAAGAGTATCACGAAGAACATAAGGAGAAATCTCTCTAGGAGCGTGATTTTCCCAACATTATTCTACTCCCAACGGCACTATATAAGTAAGATGGTGAGCTACATAATTTTCATCCCTCTCCACATGAAACCAAGAAATAAAAGAAAAAGAACTTTTAGAAGCAATAATGTCTTCTAAAACACGATCAAGTAGAGAAAGATCAAGAGCACTTGTAGAGTTTGGATACCATGGTCTGGGAATCCAATTCTAATATAACATTGGCCATACCATAGTGCTTTGCTTTCTTAATAACAAAGAGCAGCCCTACATTCCGCTACTGGGGTTCCCACCTAGCTTTCACCCTACGGATAGCAGCAAAAATTATTTCCCCTAAGTTGTTTCGGGCTATTGCACCCATGGAGTTCCAACCGTCTTCACGAGTTGAGGCATCAAGCCATCAACATTTGAGAGAGAGAGAGAGAGAGAGAGAGAGAGAGAGAGAGAGAGAGGGGGGGGGGGAGTCCAGGTACCTCTGCTAGTTGGAGGTTTGGGAGGGGCACTGATTGAGTAAATTATTGACAAATTATTACTAATACTTCATTCTTTTACACTTTCATTGTTCAGACTTCTACACTATTAACATACTCCCACCTGAGACTTAACCATATTGTGATTTTATTCTTGAGAAAGATGTAGTAATCTATGGTGCAATTATACTTCTACACTATTCACGTAGTCCGTAATAACCGAGCACACAGTGATTAATGTTATATTTACACAAGGGAATCAAAAAATTTTATGAGTGTTATACCAGTTACATAAGTTACAATTAGATCAACCACCAGAATCACACAAATTCACCTTGTCACACAGCATAAGGCTGCAAAGAATATTTGTAAAGAAAACATCATGTACGCTTCAGGACATGAATTGTTCATGAAAAGCACCGCGGAAGCGAACAGAAAGCGAAACCAACTCTTTGTTGCTGTACACAAGGACTCTCCTCCATGTTGTCGCTTAGATGGTGCAAATTTGCAACAAGCAGATAAGACATATATCGGTCATATTTACTGAGTTTAAACGATTTGCAAGCCATCACCATTTATTTCCATTTTCCGGGATTTCCACACTCTCTGCAATGCATACTGACATCTGAAGATATAGAACAAAAGTAACCAATAAAATTAAAGAGGAAAATATTAGCAGAAGCTTATTTATACAATAATTGAACAAAATCCTCTTACCGCCAGGGAAGATGATCCAGAAACATATAAGGTGAAATGAGTATCTCCTTAAAATTTTGTCGGTCAGCTATGATTGCTCGATATGGCGGCTCTGATTCTTGAGCTCCCCAACCTTTCAAAAGAGGGATATTAATTCCCCTTTGTCTTCGAATTAAGTGTATAACAAGGCCTGGAAGAAAAAGTTCTGGTGGATCACCAGGTGATCTTCTTACAGATGATGGCACAGCTTCCATAAACCGAGATACTGGATCATCATCAGGATTTTCATCAGGGACAATGATATCAGTTAAATCTTCCAGCAAATCGTTGGCCAAGCACTTGACATTTTCTTTAGCATGAAATTCATCATGCAGGAATGCGTAGTTGCCAAGGTCCGTGTTTGCTGCCATCAGAAGACTAATATGTAAATTCAAACGGAAAAAGAAGAATGGTAAGGGACAGGGAAAAAGCTGCAAACAAAAAGAATTAACGGGGTGGAACACATTACCTTCAGGAAAGATTTTAGAATGAGTTCTGTAAACGTTATCAGTCGTACAGCTTTGAGTAGCATCGCCAGTGATAGCAGCAGCTGTAAGTGGCTTCAATGCCTTCCCATTCTGATACTTGCTCACATAAAGAAACAGCTGTGCCAATTTGGCAATCATAGCTGTATCAGTTGTGCTGCCTTGTGACAATGTAGTTAATGCAGCAGCTCGCAGCCTTAAGATTGAGTTGACAGAAAGAAATGATGAAAATTCACTGTCGTGCACAACACTGCATGAGAGATAAGAAAACTTAATTCATCTTTCTTTGAAGTAACAATGAATACACGGGAGAAACATTAAGTCATAATATTTCATCCTCACTCTTATCAAACTACCTTGTAATGAAGCTTGAGCATGCATCTGCAATAACTGAATCAACACAAGGAAGAGGTCCATATGCATACACATGTAAGTCTCGGAATCGGCCATACAGCTGCATTCATTTCAAAGGATCAAAAAATTTAGCAATCAATTTCTCTTAATAAAGATCTAAAATTGAACAGAAATGAGAGAGGCACTGGCTTCAAATAATAAAGAAAAATCCCAGAGAAATGCAAAAAATTATTGAATCATCAGTTTCAATAAACACAATTATAAATAGACAAAGCCACTGCAGAATTACTCATTGGGAAACAGAATACACAGGCTGCCATCAACACTTTCATTGTAATTTAAACATTGGAAATTGATATCACCGTTATTCTTTTTCCATAATTTGATAGGTTGATAGTTCAGAACATAAAACCAAAATTTTATTTAGAGCTGCTTCTAAAAATGAAGCGATATACTAGATGGATTACTATTGACATGGAGAAAACTGTAATATTCTATAGATAAAAGGAAATACTGAATACTAAAATATTAGTGCGTTACCCTAATACCAAGCAATGCAGCAATAGAACCTCCAAGAGAGTGTCCCACAATTCGAACTGCATAACCATCACACTCACATCCTGCCCCCAGAAGTGATGAAAGATAACCACGAGATTCTATTGCAGAAACTCCACTTGGTCCTTCAACAAATAAATTACTATTAGAGAACACTTTCAAGATTAGGACCAAACTAGAAGCTCAAACAAGGTTAAGATATTATTGTTTCTGAAAGCAGTCATATATCGATCTACAGTGGTCACTGCTTGCAAAACATAAATGGAAATTAATAAATTCTTGGAAAACTCTGAACCTCAACGAAAGATTATAAAATCCTCAAATTGGAAGTTAACTCATACAGAAACGCATTAAAAAAAATAAAAATTGAAGCCACTGCTAGGACTAACAAGGGGCAAAAGAGGGACAAACAAGTAGTGTTCATAACAGCTTATGCCAGGAACGTCTTAAGTTTCCTTGGTCTTTCCTAGTTGCAGGTTATCACTGGTGACTGCCCCATTTCTCTAATTTGGCAGATGGGGTAAAGGAGCAAGAGCTGGCAATCAGAGGAAGTAGGATAGGAGAGAAGATGGAAAGGAAAAAAAAAAAGTCTGGTAGCTAGTTATCAATTTAATAATTTATCACTGATGATTGCCCCAATAATCAATGGATTAGCTAGCATAAGGGAATAAAATAGCGTAAATGGAAGGGTGAGAGGAGAATAAATATGAAAGAAGAGAATTAGCCTGAGTCTTTCAAGGAAACATGAATTATTACGAGAACTTAACATCTAGGTCTACCATGCAATCCAAGGGTCAGGATTTACATGATTCTACAAAATATATTTAACAAAGGTTAACAAGCACAAATAACAATTAACTAGGCACAAAGAAAACATGGAGTACAATTACAATTTTACAAGAATGAAATACATGAAAAAAAAAAGGCAAGCTAAAGAATTCCACCAATCACAGGATGACCTGTATGATTTACCTGAGTAGGCCCCTTCAATATGGTGATAAAGTTCTCTAGCAGCCTCAACTATTCCTGAGTATCCATGATGTGGAAATGATGAAAGAACAGTTTGCCTCATGGTAGAATCAATATACAAGCCACTGTAAGCAAACAGAAATGTAACAAAACAGTCAGCAACATAAATAGCAAAGATCCACTATCATTAGGAGTGATCCAGAAAATTCAGATAGGATGAACATAATATAAATTTGACTTCAGGAAATCCTATAGTTTCCCTGATATTGGATCTTTAATATGTAATACACAACCGTTTTCCATTTTTACATGGTGCACATTGGTGCTCCTAGTATTGCCTTGGCATCCACATACATACTTTGAGCAAACCTTTTATAGCTAAATATTATGATCAAATTTTCTCTCCCATCTCATCCTGCTAACCTCAATCACCCAACAAACTACCACTAACAAAATTCAGAGGAACTTCTAGTGGAGAATGAGCCTAATAAAGAGTTTGCAGTAAATGGGGGTGTGGAAATTCTTCAGTTGCTCTTGGTGGTAGCATAGAGGGCAGGACAAATGGTAGGACAAGCTATTAGTTTGCACCATGATACTGGGATTTTCTCAATCCTCAGTTCATGAATGGAGTACATAGCATGGCAAGGGATTAGGAGATACTACATAGCGGTGAACAATGTGATCTTATGATCACCACTACACAGAATTCTTCCATACTTTCGTTCTTCATCTGAATCCAAATGTAGCTGAAACAAAAGATGCAATAAGAAAGATTACGGTGCTTGCTTTATGAATCATCCAAGTGTTCTGTTGTGAGAGAAGTCTCCTTACATATATTCTCAGTTGTAAGATATAGACAAGTCAAGAACTAGTATTATATTAAGTGACTAGAGAATGTTCAAGGACTTAATATCCTTAAGAGTTTTAAAATATTTAGTTTCTTGAGTCCTAATTTGTAGGCTCAATTAATCACTACTCCATACTTGGTCCCCACTTCACTTCCACTTCTGTAAATTAAGACTATTAAGATTACAGCCAAAACTGCAATCTTAAAAACTGCTTCTAACTCCTTAATGAAATCTCTCCTATCAATTACAACAGCAAACAAGTGCTTAAAAAAACTCTTTTTCTAAGCCCACTTCACTTACGTGTTCCCAATAACATAATTATACACTCCTGTCCTTCAAGAATAAATTTCTATAATGAATATCTACAGGAGTACAGGGATGACACTTCTTATTCAAAATATCTGTAAAAAAAACCCTCTTTCTAGTCTGTAAATCACAGCCATATCATAGATGGTCTTCTTCACAAGTTCACAACCCTGCACATTCCCAAAAGTCACCTCACTCAAACATTTAAGTTTCACTCAACAAATTGACTATATATTCCCTTCAGGAATGTCTCAAAATCTGACCATAATCTAAAAGTGTGGGTATTACACTATTACATAATTGTTTCATGCTTTGTTTACCTTGTCTAGATCCAAATTTAACTGAAAAAGATGCAATAAGAAGAAACAAGGAACTTGCTTTATTAATCCATCTAAGTCTTCTGTTGTGAGGGAGGTCTCCCTGCAAAGGCCATCAGTAATCAGATCTTCTGGTGTCTCTGTACCTCGTACTGCTATCACTACAGTCCTTATATCATGCAAAACTACAATGAAGTATGCAGCCTGGCACTTTCCCTGTTCAAAATAACAAAAATTGTCACCAACAATAATTAAAATCAAGGACCATAACACATGTATAGAGAAAAAAATAAATATAAGTACAAGGCATGGCAATCATGAAACATTATCATAAAAGTAAAATTACATGATGCTTTATAAGATATATGTGCAATAAGATAATAACCAAAGAATTTCAGAATGACAAAGCAGTTTCAAAATAAGGGCATTGACATGGGCTAATAATTCATTAGCTCTTAACAGAGAATATTCTTAAGGGTTCTGCACGTTCCTTAATCCCACGCCGGAAAACTCCAACTACAGCACCATATGGCAAGTTCAGACTACAAGAAGATTATAGTGAAGAAAATAATCAAACCTTGTCAAACATCAGGTGTAATTTTGGTTGACCATATCTATTACCAGATATAAAGACCCCAAGACAAATTACTGCTTGTGACTGCATACCCTTATATTAAATTTATATAGATACCGGCGGCTGAAACATAAAAATCTCAGGTACTTCCACCCTCTGTGCAGAACTTTCCGGCCTCATCTCATCATGTTAATCCCCCTGTTTAATCGTATTAACTTGCCTGCATAGGCTCTTTAATGCCAATTGTTACAATTCTATGCTCCATCTTACTGATTCCAATACTAAAAAGCCCCACAATTTAGTCAGTGCTTCTACTAAATTCTAGCTAATGTAAACAAGACTATTCCCCAACAACAACATTTACAACAACAACAACAAAGCCTTACTTCCGAAATGATTTGGGATAGGCTAACATGAATCGCCATAAGGAATCATATGCAACAAATTTCGATTCATGTTCATAAGATGTGACTAAGTTTTACGCTGGCCGAATCATACGCAAAAATAGAACAAATAAGGGAAATGATAAAATGATTGTGGATAAAAAAGAATGAGAAAACCATCAGTCTTTGTGAACCGAGGAGAAGGAGAGCTAGAGGAAGTGAATGACCTCATTAAGGAAGTGTACGGTCTTGTTTGAGGAAGTGATTTTATGACAAATTTGATTGGGAAGTCCAATGGCAATAAGAAGGAGATTCATTAGCTCGTTATTTTATATGAATCGAGGGATAAGCTTATCGTTGAAAGGGAAACAGCCTGGATCACCAGCTACGGCCCCTAAATGATTGCTCAGTGATAAAGCAGGTAGGGTGCTTCTTTGGCGACCGTGAAGTCACCAGAAACAAGCACATATAAAGTGAAAACCTAAAAGGAAGGTATAAAATATAATTTCAAAGAATTTGATGAAAGAGTAGGGGATAATAATCTATTAAACACTCTTTTTAAGACTTGGACGAAACTATTAATTTTTTAAAAGGTATAAATGTAGCTACATAGCAGAAGTATATTTAAAGTAACCAAATATGGCAGTATTGTAGCACAAAACAATTTATAACTGACAAGAATAACAGAAAGATTGAAGGATTGTTTTTGCTATTCTTGAAAATAAATATTGGCAGCACAACTCGTGATGTTTGAGAGGTTAAGGCCTAAACAAGTTAGACCTAAACCTCTCATGGTTATACACTTAAAAAGACAAGGTGATCCAATCAACTATAACAAATAAAAATTCAAATAATCCTTAATCAATCTCTAAATTCTCTAACCAAATGCACATGTTGTAGGAACAGAACCACTTAACACTATACTATTACAGCCACTAACACTATATTGTTACAATCACCCTCTATGGCTAATGCATCAAAATGTATATCCAAGGGTAACATGAAAAGCACTGAAGACATGTAAATAAAGTATCTCCTTTAAAAAAAATATATAAACATCACATGCAGTGTGACCTCATAATTCATATTCTCAGTCTTTTCAAGATAGACTTTTTAAGTAATATAGAAAATCCGTCCAGAGTTCTATAAGCAAATTGGCCATCTATCCAATACGCTTAAAGTCAAAGCCATTCAAGGTATAAATTTAAAGTTGAGGCAACTTGCTAAGAATACATCAAGCCACATACACCTCAATGAAAACTTTCCCATCATCAAAAAGGTATGAATTGACATAATATGTAGAAGTAACCTGATTTACACGGCCACGTCGAAGAGACTCTAGAGGCAAATTAACATAATTAAGAAAGGCTGCGGCATGGCCTCTCCACCAATTATCCCCTTCTAGCACAGGCCGCCTAATCTTAAAAAAGGAACTTAGGATTAGTAAAAGTACATAAAAGCACAGTCGCACAGATTTCATCAAACAAAAAATATATAGCAAAATAAGAGATCAAACATCATACTGAAACAAATAAAGAACAATTTTATCAAGCAAGGTACCCGGTAGACTAAGACCTGTTACGACTCCATGCTGTAAAAACTCCTTGCCTGCGTAGCCATGCACAGGGAAATAAAATGGGATTTCTTCCAACATCTAGCAATGGACCCTGCATAAGAAAAACAACAAAACTTAAAATCATCAAGATAAACAGAGGAAACTACTATCTCTGATTAACATTGATCTAAGCACTGACTATTTGCACGTACATAAAAGACAAAGGAAGTGCCTAAAAAGGTGGGTGGGTGTAAGAGAAAGATATGTAACTTAAGAGATAGTGTGTAAATATAGTGTGTAAAACAATTGAGCGTGTAAGAAATATGTGGATAAAGTAAGATAAGAGTGAATGAAAATGGGTAAATGTTGTGGAATGTAGGATTGTAGGCTTAAAGGGGTCAGATGGTAAATGGGATACGCCACAAAGCAACATGTGAAGAACATCTAGAAACTGACCAAAATGGCAGATGTTAAGATCATTGAGGAATGGAGGTAGTATATATCAAGGAATTTTCATCATAAAAAAGTCAAGTTAACAGAGGAAACTGAAAACAAAATTATCATTGCATACCGTGTAAGCAGCTTCAGCAAAGGGGTGAAATGAAGTTGCCTCCTGAATTTCATCATCAGGAGCATCAACAGAATTTGCGTCTAATTGAGGATATTCATTACGCATCTGCAATAGAGCCAGACCTGCAATGTACCTAACTTACACATCAGGAAAAGTGTTGAAACAAACAAAGAAAAGCACCTTGTGAGGATAAGTATTGGAAGAAAAGTAGTGGATTATGGTTTTGAAAACCAACATATTTAACACTTGACTTACCCAGAAAAGATTACATTACAGAGAGATGTAAATCAAGACTACCAAATCCAATTCAGAAGTTCCAAAACACAGTGAGCAATGTGCAAGGGTGAGAGTGGGTAACAATGATGAGTATCCAAGCCACTGGAAGGGCTGGTGGCATGGTTGTTGAAATGGCTATTCATATCTTAGAACACTAGAATTCTACAATCCCAAAAATATGTTATTAATAGTAAATCTTAATTCTAAGAAGCATCTCAAAATTGTAGGATCTTAGAAAACTATCAAGACTAACATGTGAAGTGTTGCATATTTAATATGATTCTAAAGTTTAACAACTTGTTCCTACAATAACAGCTTGAAATGATAAAATCATTCTTACATGTTATCGTTGACTAATTAGTTTCAGGAGGTACATATGATTGTATATGTTTACAAAATAGATAAATAAATAAATATAAATAATAAATGAAATTAAAACATCTTCAAATATGAATAATTATTAGTATATTGGGATTAAAAACAGCCCTATCAATCCCAAGTAAAATCCCAATTCTAATAACTTTGGTTGACAGAATTAAACAAAATACACAGAAGCATATTTACAAAATAAATGTAGAGAACTGCAATAATTTTTTCCCATAATTAATTCAATTTTCAAGTTCAGTTTATACTCTTTATAGGGACTTAACATACTTTTCATTGTCACAATGGGATCCACACTATTCCAATTGAACCCAATGACGTGTCTATTTTATAATATATACTTCCTCCATTTCACAAGATCAGAACGCTTGAGATAGGTACACTATTTAATGCAAGAAGAGAAAGAGGGCAAAAAGTTAAAAGTAAATTGTACTCCCTCCGTTTTTATTATTTTTTAAATTTGCATCACTTGCAAATGCACAGAGTTTTAGGAGAGTGAATTTGTTATAATATAGAAATGTGAGTGGATGAATAATTTATCATAGTAAAAGTAATGTGGGGACCATGAAAGTGAAAGTATGTGAGAGAAAGTAGTGGGGACCATGAGAGAGAAATAATAAATTAATTTAAGTGGGGTTTAAAGTAGGTAAGAGAAATAATAAAATATAGTACAAAGTTACTATATATATTGAAGTGATGCAATAAAAAAAAAAACACCAATTTAAGGCAAGTGATGCAAATAAAAAAAAACGGAGGGAGTATATTTAAAAAAACGATAGATATGATGGGAGAGAGAAAGAGTGGGCCAAGTATGAATAAATAGGTGTAGAGGTTGTAAAAGTTGTTAAAAAAAAAAAAAAGTGTTGCAATTATTTTGAAACATCCCAAATAGGCAAGGGTTGCAATATTAGTGAAAACAGAGGAAGTGTACAATTAACCCCAGTTCTTAGCTATTCACTAGCATATTGCTCTCCGAAGCAATAATAATCTCTCTTTTAGTGTGAATTGGACATCTATGAGTTTTATAGAAATTTGGAGGATTTAGAATAAGCCAGCTGACCAATTCCAAATTCTTCTAACGCACTAGTTTTGCAACAAATGATTTTTTGCCTTAAATGCGCACCCAACCGTGCAAGCAATGTTTCATGAATGATTATTTTCCCTTGTTTTTCAATTTTTTTTTTTTCCTTTTTTCATTGCACTATAAATTATCTCTTGTAAAGCTTGATTAAAAAGTACTTGGACAAATTATTATATTTAATATTTGCCTTAGAACACCAAGTTTTCCTCTAATAGCATCAGTATTGTTGTTAATCTCACTATTTACTTATTTATTTCTATGGTTAATAGTCCCTCCGTATACAAAGCCTCATTTCCTTTTTGGGTAAATCAAAATACAATGCCTCTTTCTATTTAAAAGTTGTATTTTTTGACATTATTACCCTCTTTTTGATAAGTTGTCATTTTTTTCCTTAACTTTTTTGTACTTTTAACATCAATTTCCAACACTTTCTCTCTCTATCTCTTCAATTATTCCCAATCACTTTTTCATCCCTCTATCTCTCTCTAACCCCACATGCACATATGTACTTTTAATCATTAGTTTTAAAGAATTTACAACTTTCTTAATTCCCGCGCAAAAACCAAAAGAGGCTTTGTATAAAGGGACGGAGGGAGTAATGTTTTTCTCATTACGTCTTATTTTTAAATTTCATTCATAAGTGTGAGTTGTAAGTGAAGCCCTAATATGATTGACACCTAATTTATTACTTTAAATTCCCCAATGAATGACCTTATTTAATTAACCCATTAAATTTTATTATGCTTTTGACAATACTAGCATATGAATAAGGAGTATTGTCATTATTCCATAGTCTTAACCACGATGGAAGTTGGGTTTTGGCATATATAATTATTTCAACTAAGGATTGAATCCTACATGAGAGAAGGTAAAAGCCGTAAAACAAATTATAAGGAAACTAGAGTATTGAGTTTGATATCTTATTTTACATGATTCCACATGATTAGGTTTGAATTGATTGATGATTAAAAAAAATCATTGATACTTGGTTGAGATTAATGGTAATAAAGGGAATACTTTTCCTTATGGTTTGATTATTAATTAAACTGGGGATAGAAATTATTTTTTTGCACTAATTATATAGGTGGTAATGCTCAACCTTAGTTGAATTTAATTATTTAACTCAATAAATTAGATTTAATTGCAATGGTTATTAATTGATACACTCATCCTTTTTGTTGACTATAAATTTAGTGTTGATTGAAGTCATTTAGCTAGATTAATTTGTTAGCCTCTTGTGATTCAGCCTTGCTTTCCCATCTACATAATAGGTGGTCCAATTAGTTTATTTTTGTTAGGTAAGCTACATGCCTATCAAATTTTTGTTAGGTAAGCTACATGCCTATCAAATTCTAACTTGAATTGGGTCAGCAAGTCAAGTCAAGTTGATTGGTTACTTTTGAACACTCCTACCATTGATGTATGACATGAGCAAAACGGATGTCAAGTCCTGTTTGATCTGTTCGATTTTATTAGGTCTGCTTCAAGAATTTGCCTTGGTTATCATTGGTCATCTTTCTCACCGGTCCTCAAACCTCCCAATTAAAGATTATTTTCCAAATACATCTCTTTGCTTTTTCCATTGTACAAACTCCTTGATATGCTGACATAGCCATACATGGCTAATGGTACTATCCCTCATGAATATTCATCCCAACAAATTCACAAGGTGAAGATGTTTCTGGGATGCTCCATTTCTTTACAGTTTTGTAGAAGATGTGTTCTGGAAGGTGGGGTAACCTTCATAACCTCACTACCACACTATCCCTTGTGGAGGTCATGATGATGCCACCAAGAAGTCTAATGCAGTTTTTATAAGTCAAACTTATGTAAGGATGTTTTATGCATACATCAAATCAAATCTTGCAATTGTGTGCAAAGGATAGGAAACGACACTAGGAGAAATGTAATGTCCCTAAACAAGTGTATGAGGTGATAATTTCATGGGATCGTTCAATTTTGTGTGGAACAATTACATCTTGGTAACCATAGACTCTATCTCCAAAAAGGTTAAAGGCCATCGCGACCCTGACGACGCTCATGTAGTGAGTAAATTTTCCAGAATACCATTTTCCCAGGTTTGTAGTAACACGAGTATTAAATTATTAATCAGGTCAGCATTTCTTAGAAAACCGGTTTAAGTCAATGTCATATGGAGTATATCATTAACTAGGGTTTTAAATCACCCAAAAATATTAACACTTTATTTTAAGGAAATTTTGTATTTTATCACCCACTATATACACATATTTTGAAATTACTACCCAAAAAAAATTTTACTTTGAATTACCACCCATTAAATAAATATTTAAATCACCACCTTTTGCCACTTTCCGGTCATTTTTCCAGCTGTGGGGCCCACTTTTTTTATTTCCCTCTTCTTTTGCTTCTATTCTCTAGATTTCCCTCTCTTGCTATTCTATCCCTACTCTACTCTACTCTTCCTCCATTTAATGATAACCAGGTCAAAGAGTCACATAGATATGCCCAATACCTCTACCCAGTATGAGGATCGGTATCCTTACTTTGAGAAAGAAGGGCAATCTGTTAGAAAGTAAAAGCTCCTTGATTGATTTCGGAAGGGGTGCGAAAGAGGGAAAAAAACGGATCAAAGAGTAGACAGGCCATTTATGATTCTCCATCTTTTGGGAAGAGAGTTTCTGTTTCATGCTAAAGAAAATCTCTTCTCCAACCTGTCGTCGCCTAATTCAGAAGGTCAGGCCGACTAGCCGTAGGTACTTCGCGGCGTATAGAAACAAAACGAACCACTTCTATTTCTTCATCTTCCAAGAGTTCCAACATTAATTCATTGTCAATTGTTCAACCACTCCACCATTAATGAAACCAAACCCTAAATTTTTTTTTCTCTCATCAGCGACATCTAACTGCAATGTACTTGTAATATCTGGAAAAGGGGAAGAGGAAGGACAAGTCACCATCTTTTGTAGTTGAGAGGAGACCAGAAGTTGCCAAGTTGGGTATCTTTGCTGACATTGCGTTAAACATCAAAGCTGACAGAGGTAAGCAATTTTGAAATTATACCAGAAACCTTAATTTCATAATACCCCCAATTTAATTGTACCAGGACCCTAATTTCAGAAAACCCTCAAATTATTTCTACCAAGAACCCTAATTCCAAAAACCCCAATTTAATTATACTAGGAACCATAATTTCATAAAACCCCCGTATTAATTGTACCAAAAACCCTAATTTCATAAAACCCCTGAATTAATTGTACCAGGAACCCTAATTTCACAAAGAATTGAGCTTACCTGATTGTGACTTCAGTGTTTGCACTTGTGTGGAAGAATTCTTCAACTTAAAGCTTGCAAAATTTCTGAAATTTTGAAGGTAATTGATTTCGAAATTGTGGAGGAGCTTGAAGAGTAGTTTTATAGAACAAAATCGAGGGCAAAAAATTGAAATAGGGTCAAACTAGCCGTTATGTGGGCCCCACAGCTGGAAATATGACCGGAAAGAGGAAAAAGGTGGTTATTTAATTTAATGGGTGGTAATTTAAATTTTTTTTTTTTTTTGGGTTGGTAATTTCAAAATGTGTGTATTTGATGGGTGGTAAAATACAAAATTTCCTTATTTTAAATCCTTGCGACATTTAAATCACTTTGGCAACTTCCCAACAACACAAGCTCCAGTATCCCTATTTGTACCAAACAATGACACCATACCATGTACCAAAGCTCTAAACATAAAAATAAAATAAAATAATAAAGAGGATGAATTTCTTCAAACAATAGAACATAATAGGAAGTTTGTACAATGAAAAAAAAATAAAAAAAATAAAAACCCCACAAACCTGCCAAGAATTCTAAGTGTCCCGTGCCAGAGGCACGATAGGTGACAAGATCACCTAACAATTGTGCCACTGAGTTTACTTCATCCTCCTCCATGTTTTTCCTGAAAAAAAAAAAAAATCAGTCAAAAAGGTTAAACTTACTATCATAATAAAAATTTAAATGGAAAACCAACTACAAAGTGGCTTACAAGTATTTTACACGGCCCAGACAGCATAAAGCCTCACGAATACCGTGGTCAAATACCTCATGATAATGAGCTTTCCAAGCAGTATCTTGCATGTCATAAAACGATCTCCATCTTAGGACATCAGAGCTGGCAAAACACTGCAGCATTGCTACGAAACATGCCATTATCAGAAATACAATCAACAGATGATTCCTCCACCATCCATCACTTGAAAGTGAGACTGCATTACAGGCATGTCCAAGGTAAGGCCTAGTCCGAACACTCTGAAGTACAAAGAAAGGGGAAAAATGCCAATACTAGAAATAACAAATAGGAAAATGAGAAGCTGCAGTTTACAAAGCTGCTTACATCATGATATGACAACACTACAAGTACCTCCAAAGTGACAAAAGCATGAAAAAAAACGCGGTCGCGGTTGCGTTAGCGGTAACGGTCGCGTTGTCACGGAAACAGCTTGTAATGGTTAAATAGAACGGATTGCAGATTTCGCAGCGTGAATTTTTTTTAAAAAAATCACACAATTAGAATTTTTAGCTTGTTAATTCACGTGCTTTGTATTTATCCATATTATGCCCAAAACTATTACAAACATTAAATTTCAATTCGGAGTAGAAAGGCCCCAGAGGCCCAGACTATTTAAAAAAAAAAGGGGGTAAAGAGGGGTAGCTAAAAGGTCACAACTCACCATAAAGGTAAAATAAATAAAAGGGTAAAAAAGGTGATGGAACAAAGCTGTCACAACTGCAGTAAAAATGTTGAAAAAAGACAAAAAAGTGGAGCAGCATGTGACTCTTTGACTCAACTTTTTTATTTACTTTTTCATAAATTGTACTTCCTTTCTTCAACTTCCTTTCTTTTTCAACAACCCCCGCTCCCCCGCTCCTCACTTCTCTTCTTTCTCCATAGCCATGTTAGCACTGATACGAAGAAATAGAAGGCTGTTTCAGCATGCCCAAAAGGATTACTCGCAAATGTAATGGTTTCAGAACGGCGTTCTACCGTTACAGAACGGCCAACTCGCCAATTTGGGTGTGAATTTCAACTCGGTGTTATATAACGGCCTTTTTGGGAACGGCAAGTCTGAAATCCGTTACAAAGCGGGTGTTACATAATGGAACGGCCGAGTTTTTTTCCATGGATAAAAGAAAGATATCAAAGATCCAATTAGAAAGATGTCACCCATAAAGGAAAACTAGTACAGAATAACAGGAGCCATTAACAAGAAAAAACAAGAAATTAATCATAACCCAACCAATGTTTTACTATTGTCCTCTCTGTTGTTTGTTACTGGATAAACTGCAATTAAACTATGAAAACATAATGTTTATTCGAAGTCACATAAGTCAATCAGTACATTCAACATAATCCCTTGATCCTTTCTACTCTAGTTTTGAAATCCTGACATCCTATGGGCATGGCAAGAATTCCCTAGTTACATGGACATCAAAAACCACAGATTGCCTAATTTGAGCACTAAAAGGTTTACCATCACATAAACATTCTCCAATGAGCTAGTACACGAGACAATCCAGAATGATAAAATAATTATTGATTTATTGCTTTCGGTTTTGCATTTCTACATATTTCATTATATCAAAACTGATCAACAGTTTCCCACTATTTTTCAAAGTTTCAATTACCTGATTTGCATTACAATGGAAACATATTTCATTACTTTTTTCTTAAATTTTGTGGCATTGCACAGTTTGTCAATTTTACTTTTAGTATTCAGTTAGAGCATGTGACAAGAAATTTTTAAATCAAGCAGTTAATACTGCAGTCAGGGATAGGAGCCTAGGAGGTTTCTTGCCAACAATGTCTCAAAAATGATAAGTAATATTAGCCTATCAGATACAATTTCAATGCTTTCCAAGATTATGGCTATAGATGGTTATTTTTCAAGTGCCCCCTTCACAAAAAGTACTTACTGGGTATTCAAAAAACCCCTGCCGCCCCTAAACCTGTCCCTTTATCTACCTTTATAAATACCTGACATATTCCTTTTATACCCAAAAATCTTTCACTGTCTTTATAAAAGATAAATGCACAAGAGTTTGCCCAGCCCCGTCATCTTGTTCAGCAAATTACATCTTGAAATCGCTAAATTTTATGTTTTTGTAGGAGTTTTAACCTTGCCCGAATCAAAAAATTTGCTTGAAGAAGAGTCTTGTTGAGAAATTACAAATCCTTCCCTATTATTGCTAGGAGGTTTCTTGCCAACAATGTCTCAAAAATGACAAGTAATATTAGCCTATCAGATACAATTTCAATGCTTTCCAAGATTATGGCTATAGATGGTTATTTTTCAAGTGCCCCCTTCACAAAAAGTACTTACTGGGTATTCAAAAAACCCCTGCCGCCCCTAAACCTGTCCCTTTATCTACCTTTATAAATACCTGACATATTCCTTTTATACCCAAAAATCTTTCACTGTCTTTATAAAAGATAAATGCACAAGAGTTTGCCCAGCCCCGTCATCTTGTTCAGCAAATTACATCTTGAAATCGCTAAATTTTATGTTTTTGTAGGAGTTTTAACCTTGCCCGAATCAAAAAATTTGCTTGAAGAAGAGTCTTGTTGAGAAATTACAAATCCTTCCCTATTATTGCTCTTGCTAAATTTCACCATGTTCAGATTAACTTTGAGAAGAATCACAGCTAATTTCTATATGCCATCATCGCAGTCTAAAACTTTACTTTTCCAAAGTAGTCTAAGGCCTTGTTTAGTTCAACTTATTTTTACTTACTTCAGAAAAAATAAGTTCAGATCAGATCAGAAAAAATAAGTTCAGATCAGATCAGAAAAAATAAGTTCAGATCAGATCAGAAAAAATAAGTTCAGATCAGAACATCGTTTTATGTGCGGTTTTTTATCGGTTAATTTCGTAATGAAAAAAACTGTGAAAATTACATATTAATAAACTACACATTATTACGAATCTAACAAGATCCCACTTGATATATTTTTTCCTTATAGATTATCGTACACTTAAGGTCAAAGTTTGGTCAAATCAGACAATCAGATCAGATCAGACCAGACCAGACCAGATCAGATTAGATTAGATTAGATCAGACCAGATCAGTAAAAATAAGGTGAACCAAACAAGGCCTAAACTTCTTAAAATCACCGAAGTTATGATATTTTATTAGCAAGGAAGCTAAACAAACCTCAATTTGAAGTGAGTAAATAGAGAGTGTATTTATTAAATAATTAGACAACATAACATCTTACCTATAGCACAGTCATTTGATGATATATTACTTCCCACCACAAACATGATGTAAATTGCTAGTAAGAATTGCACCACAGTAACAACTGTTGCAAACCTTGTCCACCAAAGCCAGCTTTTGTATCTTAACTGTAAAACATATGATAGCAATATAAATTTTGTGTCAAGGTATGTAATAGCGAAACATAATAACTGTATAGGACATAAACCATACCAATTCAACAAATATACATTCAAAATCTAGAACGCAAAGAATATGCCGTCAACAGGCAGGAAATTTCAAAGATTTAAGTTTTACCCCAACAAAAAAGTCAAAAATAACCTCTTTATGAGCCTAATAATTTTATTGTAACCTCACATGTCATGACTGGATAATCAGAGATTGGTGAAAGAAACTAGTTTATAAATTTCCAAGAAGATTCAAAGTAGCTCATCACAGAGTAATGCAAAATATTAGCACCTTAATTTTCATTCATTCTAACAAGTTGCACAGCTTCTCAGGGGTGTGCTTCTAATAGACTTGAGACCCTTTAGCAGATAGCTTTTTTTGCTTAATTTTTTTATGTAGGAAAACAAGCATGTTTTTAGCAGGTTAGTTTGTTAGGGTAGACAAGTGTCTTGAGGGGCAGGGGAAATAATAATAAAAAAATAGTAATAATAAACTTTGCTTCACAATCGCCCTAAATAAATCAAGAATTTCATAACAGACTCATGAGTTTTACCAATTACCCATGTTAATCATATAGCACAATCATCGAAATATAAATGTTGTTAATTAAACGAAACAAAAGGTACTTGCATATGCCCAAAACAAAGGTCCATTCTGATGAACCCAAAAGTTAGTCTTTTTCAAAATAGAATATTCCCCAAAAACAACACAAAAAAAATAAAAAATAAAAAATAAAAAAATAAAAAATAAACAGAGCAATTGGGAAGAACCAGTATGATTTCAGATTCACAATATAACACAGTAAAAATCAATAAAGTTGCAGTATTATATTTCTAAATGGGACCTCAAGCAAAGAGACCTAGAGTCCTAAAGGCCCAAGTCTCATAAATGGCTAAAGCAATAGACACAAATGACATATGCAGCCGTTTAGCCCAAGCCATTAGTCCTCTTTTCCTTAAAATTGTTTTAGTGGTAAATATCCAAAATCGATTTATCCAAAGAAGTGTTTAAGAAAAGCTACAGTATAATTTATATCGCCTAAGAGATTCCATATTCTGAAATTGTATAAGCATTAAGTAAAACAAGAAAACTTTTCTACATGTATATGAAGTGCACGAAGAACAATTTGATAGGTGAATGGATCCCTCATCAAACAGACAGGCAAAGACCTAAGTGTACCTTTAAATTTTCTAAGAGCTAGTCAGCATATCTTTCTCTTAAAGCTCTTGAGGCACTTTATATCAGTCATAAAGCACCAATACCATGAACTAACTCCCAATAGCAAAAGATTTGACATATTGTACTCCCAAAAGTATCATCACTAAGGTTACACTCTAGGTAATCAATGCTCTACCTAAGTTGTACTCCATCCCATCCTCTTTTATTCAAAAGAAATCCCTCGAAAGTTCTACATTCTAGCTAGTCAATGTCAAACAAAACCAAACTTGTTCATGAACAACATAAACCATTGCACATATCCTTGGATTCTTCGTTGAGTTATATGCTAAGCAACATTACACAAATATAGGGCACTCAGCTCCTTCATTTTTCATAAATATAACTCAAACACAGTCATCAAAAATCCTCTTACTACCTAAGCAGTCCAACCTGTTTAATAGTGAAACTACCATCAACAAGACATACACTTAAATATGAATAATTCTCTTCAGCACCACAATTGTATCCACAAATACTATCCCACAAACACCGTGCACACTTGCATAGTTACATAGCCACAATGGTGAAAATGTTTTCGCTTTCCGACATGGGCAAAGAAGTCACAAACATTCCACAATATTCCATATCATCTTAACAACCAAAATACCAAACAATTTATTTTCCTTGACAAAAACTGAAACAATCATAATATAAAACAGCTATACTCACTACTATCAAACCCACTAATTCATTCCTCAAAGCATAATCACAAGACATGACATCCACATTACCAATACACAAACTAAACAACAATAATAAAGAAAACAAAACCCCAAATAAAATTTTCAAATGCGGTAACAATTTCGCACCATACCCGTCTTTGAACACGAGAAAGATTATCGGAAACAACCGAAGCATCCGGAGAAGAACCCAGAACAGCAATGGCAGCAGCTTGCTGTTCAATTGCGCAGCGTATCATAGCCATCACACGAACCCCAGCTGCAGCCATAACCAAGAAAAAGGGCAGCAACTGGCTACGACTGCAAGACTGGCTATGCCCACAAAAGAAGAGTGACCCACCAATGGCGATCACAGCAACATTGCTGATTCCAAGTACTATGCTCGTCCATCTCAGATTCTTCACCAATTTCTTTGATGATGTACTCATTTTTGCCCGATTTCTTTCTCCTACCCTTTTGAGGCGTTTTCTCATTGCGTGAAATCGTACAAGTATTGCTGGTACATTGATGGGAAATTATGGAAATCGATCATTGTTGAATTTTCCTCTTATCCCACGCAAACGAAAAACAATGGTTCAATTTTCTTGTATTTTTAATTTCTAAATGCAATACAAAATAACCTAAATGCAGAAATAAATTAATGATAATAATAGAATAAAAAGACTGAAATACCCTTTTTCAAAATAAAAAGACAAAAAAATGACTTGCTATTTCACGTTCATTGGCCCTCTTTTTTCAGTTTGTTTTTCAATTTAATTCAATTCATTTCATCCTCAATTTCTACCTCTTGAATCCTTAATCCCTCAAAATACTTCAATTTGAGCCCTAGAGACAAAGAAATTGTTCACCATTCATAAATCATCCGGTCTAAGGTTTGTTTATTGTTTAATTTATTCATAATTTGCTGTAATTTAATCTTTAATTGTTGTATAAATGGTTATAAGTTGATTTTGAAAAAATTTCGATCGTACACTTGTGCCCAAATTGACGAAGCTTGTGACTATTCTTTCTGAGTTGTAATTTTTCATATGAAGTGGCTTGATTTTTTATTTTCATTTGGGTATTAATGAAATTATTAATATTGGAAGAACCCAATTGAAATTAGTTTGATAGATTGAAATTTATTGAAAGAATTGGGGAATTTGGGATTGTAAAGTATAAGAATTTTGCCCAGATTATCATAAGTTGAATATGTATTGTAGCTTTGACCCTTGTGTTGATAATTCAATAATGATTAGAATTTTAGATGTTGAACTTGAGTGGGGTGAGGTTTGCTCTAAGATAGGCTGCTTTGTAACCTTACCAAAGTTCTTGAGGTTTTAGCAAACATAAAGCCCATGTAACCACATTGAAAAAAAGTATTTTGATTGATCTTCGGAAATTAAAGTATAATCACATTCAAGTTCAACATGCTTCCATTAGCCAAAGTTTAATTCACATTCACATTCAATTTCAATATTCAACGTTCAACATTTAACATCTCTGCAAAGATGTTGAAATTATATATTTTAGCATTTCGACTAATATTGCCCATATGAAATCCGAGATCTTGATAGGTATTAAATTTAGCTTTCTTTGTAATCTGTTGTTCAATTATTTACTATTTTTGTTTTACTCAGTAATATCCTTTGGCATCCTTGGTGATGGTACCTTTTCGTAGGTATTTAATTATTATAATCTGTTTTTTTTAGATGTCATAAGGTTGTAGTGGTGGACGTTCGAAAAGTAAGAAGTTAAAAGAGAGTGTTAATATCAATGAGGATATTCCTATTCCACGACTACGTCCAACCGTATCCAATAGGGCTAAGCGTGTTAAGACGAGCGAACTTCTTTCAATTAATACGCAAAATCCTAAATTTATACCTAAATACAGTGAACAAAATAAAGGGGAACAAGAATATTTGGATTCCTTTGAAACAGCAATTCAGCAATCCGTTCATGCTAGTGAAATGAGTTCAGAAGTTCCATCTTAGACTAGGAAGGGAAAGAGTTTAATGTCAAAAATAGATTGTCTAACCAATGAGGATGAGGAGGAGGAGGAGAGGGTGAGGGGGGAGGAAGAGGAGGAGGAGGAGGAGAAGGGGGATGAGCCATTATAAAAAAAAAAAAAAAAAAAAAAAAAAAAAAAAAAAAAAACAATTTGGTACGAAAATGAGTAGTTATCGAGGTAACTTTGAGGTGCATGGGCGATTTGGGGGTGATAGACAAGTTTTCCTTGAAGACTATAGTGAGTTGCAAGATTCAATTGATGGTGGCCCAACAAATCCCGAATTGCTAAAGAGTTTTCGTGGTCACGTTGCATACTATATTTGGCATGGTCGAGTAAGTTGAAGTAGTTTTATTATTTAATTTGTAGTATTTATTTATTCTGATTTATAATCTGCATTTCAACAATTTAATTGGTGAGAGTTAATTACATATTTTATATTGAATTCTTATTTGATATTTGTTTATGCATTACATTTGTGACTTGAATAGGAACGAAGTGTTTTGAAAGGTAACAAACAAAGTGAGCGTTTACAAAAGTGGAAACCTCGTAACAAGGAGGTGAAGACATTAATTATATCTAGTGAGATTTTTCATCTGGCTAATTGTATGTATTCTAATTTAAACATGTCGTTAATATCTGCTTTGTGGAGAGGTGGCATCCAGAAACAAATTCATTTCATCTATCATTCGGAGAGATGACAATAATGCTACATGATGTAGCATACATTTTAAGTATTCCTATCACCGGACAAGCTATTTTTGGTAAATTTGTAGTTTCCGAATTAAAAGAGCACCTAAAACAACTCTTAATGTATCAACATCTGAGGTGGATGATGAATATCGTAAAGGGAGTGTGCGGTTGAACTTTATACAAGGGTGTTGTTCATCAAATAATTTGCATTCTTCATCGGAAACTGTTGGATACTTATTGTAGTTGTTAGGGTGTAGTGTTTTTGTAGATAGGTCATCTACTAGTGTTAGTCCTTATCTTCCACCATACTTGGTTGATTTGGAAAAGGTTAAAGATTATGCATGGGGTGCTGCTTATTTGACATATATGTATCGTCGATTAGGGGTAGCTTCCAGATTTGACAATGCTCAAATTGTTGGTTGTTTAACGCTCCTTCAAGTACGATTTAATAAAAAAAATTCCTTACATTTTAATACAAAAATTTGTAGTGTTAATAAAATATTGTTATTTTAATTTTTGTTAGGCTTGGATATATGCTTATTTTTCGATATTTCAACCCCAAAAGAACAAGAAATGGGATATAAGTTTACCGCATGCACAACAATGGATCCCTCCATATGTTCAGATTGTTGGTATTGATTCTTTGGTGTCTTATAGACGCATACTGGATGATATAAAAGTTGATCAGGTTAGCAGTTTATATATAGTTGTACTATTGAAAATATATTACTATATCTTCACCATTTGTTTCTCATATTGTTATTTTCAAAATTTAGGTAGTGTTGACTCCATTTGATAGAAATCCTCATCAGACGTTTCCGATCACATTGTATTCTAGTGTAATCCATTATAGGGATATTACAGAGCCATATATGCCTGACCGTGTATTGAGACAATTAGGATATGTCCAAATTATACCCATACGTCTATTGCATCCCAAAACTTGTTACAGAGACCAGAGAACAACAAATATAAATGCAAATACGATGAGAACCTTCATGCGTGGGATTCTTAGATGAATCATTGTTTTAGAGTAGGTGAAGCAGGTTCTTATAGAGTAAATTTTTTTCAACTGATATAGTGGAAGGATATCTTGACTATTACCGAGCTCGCACTCGTATTCGAGTTCATAGAGATGTCGCATTAGCACCAATGCCTATACAACCATGTGATGTGCCCTGTAGTAAGTTTTATTTTATATTTTTATTTATATTGAAAAGTAGAGTCCATGTTACTATTACATGATAACATTTATTATAAATTGCAGCGTTTGCAATATTTAGGTGCAAGAGGTTACCCACTCCATCTAGATTTTCGACACCGGACTGATGATGTGACATTTTGGCAATGCCTTGATGATTTAACCCGCCACTTAGAAGATTGGATGCCAAGACTACAAGATGATCGTCAAAGAAAAGGTGTAGGTGGTGGTTCAAGGAGGGGTAGTCGTAGGTGTCAACTTGTGTTTTTAGGATGAATTATTTTTCTAGATGCAAAGTGTAATATCCAAAACTGACACTTGTTAGAATCATTTTGATTGATTTATAAGCACTTACTATATATATATATATAGTAAGTGCTTATAAATCAATCAAAATTAGAATAAGAACATAAGTAAGAATCCTTTGTAAAAATAGTACAAATAAACAAATTTCCTCTATAAAATTTTAAAATACCATAAGATTGTCTATTTATCACCATTTAATTGATGATATAAATCAAGTTGATCCTTGAATATAGTTGAAGCCCGCTATAGCACAACAGAGCTACCATTATGAATGTTAAAGGTAAAAATAGGTGGTAAAGGAATATTTGGTTTCATGTGGAGGGAAATATAATGATTACTCCATACGCAGGCCAAATTGATAAATATAGATGGCGGTTGATCAACCAATCGAGTCTCCAATGGTAAGAATGTAACAGATTCATCTCTAGACCAATTTATCACAATTCTTTGATATCTGGTAGCGACTACCATTCCTAAACCTAGTGTATCTTACCAATTCTGGAACGGAGTAGGAGACTTATCACAATTTACCAAATTAAGCATTCTATTATACTCTTGTATGCTTTCCAATGCTTCTCTATCTCTATATAACTCCACATGGTGGGTTAACTCATCTTGTAAGTCACGCCGCATGTAACACCCCCAAATCTCCCTCTACGGAAATACTAGTATAATACATATAATTATACCGTAGAGATAGACTTAGACGTATTACCGCCGCGTGGTTACGCAAGGCTACTCAAACTTACTAACCAAAATCAATACTTTGCAGCGGAATTTTCAATACTTTCTTTATTAATAATAATATAAATAGTAACCATAGTCATGAATACTCATAATTGAACAAAGACCAACATTCCTAATGTAGGTGAAGAACATTCCTGGGACTCCCATATGCATAATTCTTGACTCCACCTGAAATTAGTCAACACTTCTTACCATTACGTTAAACAGGAAGAACCAAAACAAATAAGAAATACGGGTTAGCAAAATATGCTAACTACGATAAGTGCAAGATAAGTAAATTCAATTTATTCGTAAACATGCTTTTAAAAACCAATTCCAATAATCAATCCAATGAATTCCAAAACTCATGATTAAACCAATTCTCAATAATTCAATAATTTGATGAAACGATTTATAAAACCAATTCCTCTTTTGAAAACCAATTCTCAATATTCTCAAAATAACTTTAATAACTCATTAACTCAATAATAATGATTAGTCAAATAAATTATTTTCGAAAACTCAACCTCCTCTCTAAGTGTGCACACCCCCCAAGCTAGTCTCCTACTATTTCAAGGCTATTCTTGGAGAAAGACTAGGTCATATGATGAGTGACATTTATGTTACCCTTAGGGGTAGTGTATTGGTCTCTTTTCTCTTGTTTTTCTTAGGTTTTCTACCTCTTTTCTCCTCTTA